AACAGGACGGAGAGCGACTGCCATGCAGCTCTATATGCCGAGCTTCCACCCAACCTAAATAAGCTCTGCAGCCGCTGCGCTAAATCCAGCCATGTATTCTCCTTACTGCTTGACACAGGTAACCCGGCTTCTCTTATTTCACTGTTTGGAGACTGAACTCCTCTCTGTGTTTATCTGCGCTGCCTCTGCCTTTATTTTCCACCAGTCTGCTGGTTTTTGTCACAGCTTGTTTCTGTTGTCTGACTCACTCTCAAACTTCGCCTCGGTTCTCTTCGCCGTTTCTTTACGCAGGAAACTTTCTTTGCGCACCGCAGAAAAAATGGCGCTTCTTCCATATGGTCATTTCTATTTTAAAACAAATAAAACTAAACGCTTTTAATAATAGAAGGGATGAGGAAGGAAACGAGGAGAAAATATCTGTTTAGATTAAAAAAAAGGTCCAGGCTTGGAAGCGGTTCTTTAATTTTTTTTTGGTCGGTGAGAGGAGTGTGAGCGCGGGGCGCACACCGCACGGCCCGGCCCACCGCACCGCAACGCACCGCACCGGGCCACTTTCTTCAACAAACTAGTGTGTGTGTTTGTTTATGTTGCACCACCATTTTGGATATATTTACCTTCTGAGGACCAACAGACCTTATGGGGACCAAATGCTGGCCCCTATGTGGTGACCCCCCATTTTTCATTCTGGGGGGTCATTTTAGAGGTATGGAGTGAATTCAGCAGCATGAGCTCAGGGTTAGGAATATGCAGGGTAAATGTGAGGGTTTGCATGAATACAGTAAAAATAAATGTAAAGTCTTAATATTGTGTGTTTGTGTCATAAACGGCAGCTTTCAATTGTCTTTTTTTCCTCACTGCAGTTTTTGTTGCACTTGAATGCAACACGTGCACGCTCGCAGATAGACCATAACTATAATACTGTATGCTGACGTCATTTCACGCACTGACTGAAAGCCAGCTGTTTTTTTTATTATATATATATATATTAGTTTAAATTGTTTTTTTAATGCTAAATAAATGTGACCAATATTTCAGCATCTTTATCTAATGTTGCCTTTAATTTCCTCCATGTTTCAAACAATTCTCTGTTTATTCCTCAGTAATTATGCTGGGTCAATTAATCCATATAATCCATTAATCAACACATTTTTTGGGGAAAATTTAGATTTTTTTTATTTTTTTTAAGTCAGTGCACTTTTTTTTTTTCCATAGCTCAGAGTGACATCAGTTCATCTAACTGATAAACTAGCTGTGTGATGACATTTAGTGTTTTATTTTCATTGTTTGTTGGGAAACAGCGTTGTTTTACAGGCTTGGATTTTGTTGACTTTTAACTCAAGGTCAAATAAAAGCTGTTTTTTTAAAAGTAATATATGTGTCTGTTTTATATTCTAAAGCTTGGAATAGAAAAAAAATAAATTGATAGATTTTGAGCCATATCATGCAGCCCTACTCAGTAATATTGTTTGGATTAGAACCAAACGTCAAGTTAAGGATTAGGGATTTTTCCGTATCGTTTCTTTCTTTTTAAAATACCTTTATCTCCTTTCTTTTGTATCTGCTTTTATACTTGAATCAAAGTGTCGGATTTATCCTTGAAGTTTCATTTTTTATAATTAGTCGGAGACAGAGGGACTGAAGAGGTATTTTGTGTCTTAATCTCGTGTAAAAATCTCATTTTTTCCCCGGATTTTTTTCAAACACTACAACTTTGGAGGATATCACTTATTACCCGTTTTTTTCTTGTGGTTTGGTGCCTATCGGGTCTAACATTTTCAATGAAATGTAACCGAAGAAGTGAGTTAATGAACCTTTTAGCGATTGTCACAGTGAGCAGCTTTAATCTGGTTTAGTCTGGTGAGTTATATGTGGGATGTATGTTGAATATAAATATAAACTGCAGTAAAAGCGGAGACACGAAGGTGAGGAATGTTCCAGAGTTGGATCAGCTTTTCATTTTATGTCCATCTTTAATTAGCGTAACAGCAGCGTTCATGTTTAAGTGAAATTTGCTAACATCCTGACCTTTAACCTCGAGGCGATTGTTGCTAATTAAGGGTAAAGCTTAGCTCAGGTTGTCAGGGAAACGGTTTAATGTCCAAATTAAAGACTGTTTAATACTTTAATCACAACTTATTTTAAATAAGTGAGAAAATGACTTATTTTTCAAAGGATGTTGCTCATGAGAAAAGGATTAAATCTATCCAAACAAAGCGTATGGAGATTATTTTATTGTTTCTGTGTCTTTGTTTTGTCCGTAAAGATTGAAAACCTTCGCCTTTAACATGTGAAAGATACGCTTGTCGTTGCTGTGGCCTTCTCGTGTTCTGCAGCTGCTGCAGGTCTTCTTCCAATAAAGCAGACTTGTTTATCCCCAGTTGGCCCCGTCTGACAGCGGACTGCCAGGGCCCTCCGTGTGATGCCGTAATTCATCCCTGCCTTTTACGTTGGCCCCATTTAAAAAAAAAAAAAAAAAAAAAAAGGAGTTTTCCTCCCGTCACCGTGGCTGCCATGACTCGGCTGAGAGGATGCTGCTCCTCGGCTCCTCTTCCCGTCTGGTTTTCATTTCAGGAACATTTGCAGCGCTGCGATCGTAATGTTCGTCCTCTTCTCCGTTTGTTTCCACTTTAATTCCTTCTCTTTATAAAAGCTGTTAAAAGGCTGCATAATGTGCTGACTTTAAGGGGGCGACGCTCAGATAGCAGGAAAACAGAAGCTTCCAAGGACCCTTCACATTGTTTTATGATGATTTTTGCTCTGACGTTGTTTACTTGAAAATATGGCTTTTGTTTAAGACGGCCTTTTAAACAAGACGACATGGTGTGATTTAAAACCTGAAACGCCAAACAAAAAGCCTTTTTAAGCACCATAAATATCCCTTGATTAAAATTAATTGGCAGCAGGCTCACATAAGGACCAATTTAGCACCAAATGGGTAAGAAAAGGTGGTTTAAAGTTGGATTTTTCATATTATAGGTCACCTCTTAATCAGGAAAAAGCCGATCATTGGGATATCTTGGGAATGCCCAGTGATTACACCCTTTTTGAGGTACTAAACGCTGTGTTTAAAATTAATCTCCCAATCATTATTTTTAGGAAATTTTGATTTACAGGTAAGAAAAGCTGATGAATATTTATTTGATATTCTGATAACTGCTGGTAAAAAAAGCACTCATAAGACGTGGATCTGTCCCCGACCCCCCCACAATACAAGAGTGAAGTATTGTAAATGATATTTACCTCATGGAAAGGATCACCTTCTCCCTCCGGCTTCAATATTCACCAAGAGGTGGGCCAAGTGGGTTAAATACGCTGCTCTTGAACAGACAGAAGTATGGAATGAATAACATGCAATGCCTGTTTTTTAATTTATGTTCTGTTGCATCTAAGTATTAATATATTAATGTATCTCTCATACTTTGTTTTAAAACTACCTGGTATAGAGTTTATTTTTGCTTTTTCATGTAGACCTATCTTTTCCTGTTTGTTCAATGTTATTAGATATAATTTACTTAACCCTATAATGCCAAATGTATCATATTTGATACATACTGCTTCTGAAATGACACCTTTTGCATAATTTAATGGTAAAAACTTTGCTTATTGTATTTTATCCTATTGTACACAATCAGATATACCTGATAACAGCCAGTAGAAGACTACACAAAAAATAACTTGACTTATCCCATAGTAATAAATTATTAATATCAAAAATGTATTTCTGTTTTTTCTTTTTACATATTTTGTTAAAAGGCCAAATAAGGAATTCAAACCAAAAAAAAGTAATTTTCTCTTTTGTTTTATTCCTGGATCGGGCTTTAAAGGGATAACTTTGTATATTATGAGTGGCAGTAGTAAAATTGTAACTACCACTGTATTGTATACTCTTACAAAATAAAAATGTCATAAAGAAACGCTATGCAGCTTCTTGCAGACAAAAAACAACTTATTGTCTATTTTATAAATCATTATTAAATCAAATAGTGGGTTTAAAAAACGCCTCACCAGTTTGGAAAAGGTTTTAGAGACATATGACATGAAAGTAGCTGCATTACTGGCAAAACACATAGAAACACACATTGGAAGGAGACAGAAGCGACTGTGGCAGGAATAAATGTCATGGCTGCAACATACAGAGACTAAAAATGATAATTTTTATTATTAAATGATGCTTTAATACAATTATGTTGCTGTTTGAATAGTTTTACTCTCTTAGAAACACTTTAACTGGCTTTAAGGTTGAGTTATTCTAAAGATCAGGGTTTCAAAACGAAGGTTTATGTGGGATGAAATAGCAGAGAGACGTCAGTTTCTTTAGTGCTCATTTGTGATTTGCTTGTTTTTTTTAAAGGTGAAAGAAAACTGAGCAAAGTTGTGAAATAAAAGTCAACTGAAAACGTTTTATTGTAAAAATCCACTATAAATATGATGGTTTTTATCTTCTGCAACAAGCAGACATTAACCTGTGTATCTATTTTGAGAAAACCTCAATTTCTGATCATTTTCATTTTAAATAGTCATGTTTTTTTTTTTACATAGTTTCTTTTTTTTTTAAAGCAAAGTTAAAAAGAAAACAATTGAGAAAAGTTTATTTCCCTCAGCCATCCAGCCAAGTCAGCAGCAGTTATTGATTTTCTAAATAAATAACCACAGCAGAGCGTTTCTTTAAAGCGTGCTGCAGAGTTTAAGCAGACAGCCTTAACGTTTTAGGATTTATTTCCATCTCATTGGAGCCATTTTGCTGTTTTGTTTTTGCATAAATGATCCATATTTTTTTTTCTTCCTGTCGACGCCCTGAACCCTTCATACCCGTCGCTGTGTTTTTGTGTCGCCGCATTCCTTCATGTGCTCTACGCTGATGTTGTCATCTGAGTCTGTTTTCACTGCTGCGACATTTTAACTTATTCCTTCCCTCTGCCCCCCCCACCCCCCCACCTCTCTGCCTGCCTGGACGCTGACCCCTGCTCTCCTCGCCTCTTAACACCCTCTCAACACTAAAGTATTACCCCACTCACCTTCTAAACAATGCCTTAGTGGTAAGTCCTGTTGAGTCAATATTTATTCCACATCAGGTGTTTTGTGTTTTTCATTTTATTCTTAAATATCCGTATTTTTGTACGTACGTCACCTCTTGGGATCATGTTTTCTTGCAGATTTCCGGCTGGAAATCTGATTATGTTTTTTTTTTTTTTTTGCACAAATCTACTTTTTTATTGATCTATTTGCAGAGAATGTAGTGCATTTCACGGCTCCCACAGAAATAAAAAAAAAGAGCCGCTAAAAAGTGGAAGCATTAAAACAATGCAAATATTGCTTCTGAATGCATGCCTTGTAAGATTTAAAGCATATTAAACTGTGATTTACAGCTCATTTTCCCTCCTCTGTCTTTTATTGGTAAGGCTTTTTTCTAGGCTGATCTTTTTAGTCGGAAAAATGCGAGGCCCCGCTTTCTCCTCACTTCAACTTTCCCCTCAGTGACTTTTTGGCTTCTCCTCTCATCTGGGACCGTCGCTGGTTTTATTCTGTACGTTTTCCTGGAGACAAATGTTTTAGATTTACACGCCTTACACTTTTTTTAAACTTTTATTAGGCTGCAGCGCTTTTAGTAAAAATGTAAAAGCAGTGTTTTCTGCTCAAATCTGATTTAGTTAATGTATCTAATGCACTTAATGCCATTGATAAGGTGGACATATTTCCAGTCCTCCACCTTCATTCTGTCTGTACCCATCTCTTTCTGTTGCTGTGTGGTTTTATAATTATTCTTTTAATTCTATATAAATGACAATGATAAATATTAAGCTACGAATTATAGATTGACCGATACAGATTTTCGTAAAGGCCGATTCTGTTACCGATTATTATCACCTCAGGCTAACTGATCCCTGACACGTTCTGCCGATATGTTTGGATCAGTTCTTGATGCCAATATTGTTCTTTTTCCTCCATTTACATGAGAAATATGAAACAATGACAAAAATGTTGCGAAAATCTTAATTTAAACAAAAAAATGTAACAAAACTTTAACAATTGATTGCAAATAGAAGGAGCAACATGGCTGCCGAATGCGCCTATAATTTGATACCGAAACAAGGGAAAAATGCTAAAAATTGGCAGATTTATCGATTGTTAACTTCACAATCGATGCACCGATCCACTGTTTTTCATCTTCAATCTGATGCCAGCAGAACCTGATATTTTTCCAACACAAAAGCTCTTTTCTCTTAATGTAATCATTATTACTGTTCTTTTTTTTGAGGGGATGTCCTGAACTCTGCGATCAGGAATAACACATATGAATGTAAACATGTTAGAAAAGAGTCACAGAACCAATAAATGGTAACAGGATAAATTTCATCCTAAAAAAAAGTGTAGGGGTTCAAACTGACTCTGGTTATTAAAGCAGAGACGGCTGTTGAAGAGATTTTTATCTCCGATTATTAGAGAAATTAGAGATGGAGCGATGCACCAGCTGGATGATATTTCAGTTTTTTCGCCGTTCACCGATTCATTAGTGCATTCAGAAGCCATGTTCATGGATCACATGAAGCGCACGCTTTGCCACTTCGTACATTTGCTACCTATTGAAACTTCAGTAGCATCCTTTATTATCGAGTCATTTTTATCGTGTAAATTAAGGATTAAAAAAACAATATCAGCTCTAAGAATCAGTCCCAAAAATATCGGCAGTGCATATCTGGGATCGGTTAGACTGATGTCAAAATAATCATTATTGGACAAAAAAACTGTACGGGTTGATCTCTAGTAGAAATAACCTGAATAGATCTGCTCCTATAGATCAGTACCCAATCTAAATTTTCTTTAATATCGGAGCCGATACACTATTAATATTTGATCTTTGTATCTCTATTAGGGTTGTCAAAAGTATCGATACTCAAAAAAGTATCGATACTGAAACGTTGTATCAGGATACAATACTCGTTTTTAAAAGTATCGATACAGTGCTACCACCAGTGGCACCTAAGCAGTCATTCATCTAAAGTGCAAAATAGAGGAAAATGCACTTTCTGAGCACTGTGTGATTGAATAATTCTGTGCACTTTTCAGTTTCACACTTGTTTTTTGTAAGGGGTGCAGTTTTTTATCAAGCTTGCTTAATATTGTGCACAGCATACAATCTCAAAATATTGTTCTTATTGTTTATTGTATTTATTTATTGTATTTTATTTATTCATGAAAATATTTCTGTAGAATTATGGAGTTTTTATCCTTGTGGTATCGAAAATGGTATCGAGTATCGAATATTTTCCTTAGTATCGGTATCGAGTTGAAAAGTTTAGTATCGTGACAACCCTAATCTCTATAACAAACAATAAAAGTTGTCAATTCAGTGAATAAATAGAATAGAAAATAGAAAATCCTTTTATTGTCCCACAATGGGGAAATGGACAGGATCCACTTCTTTGACACATGTGGAGCACAGATTAAAATCAGTGCTTCTTTATTCCGACACGCAAAATTCCTAAAATATTAAGCCTGTTTCCTGTAAAGGTCCCGTCTTTTCTGTAGAGTGGCCACCTGAGAGCCTTTAAAGCTCAGTATAAATGCAGAAAACTCTATGAAAATATGTTAAACAGGCAATCTCTTAGTGTGCAACATGGTGGTGGCGGCATCATGATGAGGAGATTCTTTAATTTAAAGCAGGAAAATTAGTATTTCTATTAAAATGGATAGAAAAATATATTAAAAGGCTGAAAAAGGTTTGAGAGCGATTCAGGGTCAACTTCAAGGTAAAAATATACAGCCTGGTTTAAATCGAATGCCTGCATCACTTCAGACTCACTTAGAGAAACATTAGTTTTAAACTCATGTGTATTTTCTTTTGCCATAAATGTGCAGACATGTCAGCCGGGTCTGTGAGCGGTTACTGCTTTGCACTTTTTCACCCAAAGCTCAGAAACGTTTTTGAGCTTTTAGCAAATTCTCCCCAGATACTGAAGGTTTATTAAATGATGGAAATCACTGCAGGTTCTGCTTCACTGGGATTACAGCCGCTACAGGACGGATGCATTCGTAGCCTAGGATGCCAAACAGCTAAACCACATTAAGTCTTGGGAATATTTGAGCGTGGAAACCGATGCGGCGGCCGGTTCCGGACCTTTCTGAGAGAATGAACTCACCGGACATTTTCATGCAGCTCTGATGATTATGTTTCCTTTTAGCTAAGCGGAGCAAATGCATGTG